GGGGGGGGGGGGGGGGGGGGGGGGGGGGGACACCTGGAAGTAGTAGATACCCTTGCGGATCATGTGCCCAGGGTCATTGCTCGTCCCGCACGTTCCAGACGACTTGTAGAAGTACTTCAATGCCTGCAACGTAGACAACAAAAGAGAAGACATTCGGCGGTCAGGCTTCAACGCACGGCCATGACATGACATCCGGCGTCCTCGCCATATACATGACAGTATCGGAATACACCTGGCCATCCACGTTTGTAACGCTCAAACCAGGCAAACAACAACACACAAAACAAAAAACGATGCCGCCACTCCGGTGTCCAGCACGAGAAGAAAACAACACTCACTGAAAAAGCCATCTTCCGCAAGAATGTGCAGGTTTCCCGCTTAACCGTCGCTGCAAAGATTTCAACGCGCATCCCGTTCGAACGCGGTGTTGAGTCTCTTCGAAACCATGAATTACATTTTCTAAGACAAACAACCACAAACCACCGCAACAGCTACCATAGTACGGTAACCAGTTACCACAACTCTGACCTCCTCGTCCTCCTCTGACAACGTCAGTTGCCCTGCCCCGCCGTCCCCGAACTCGAAGGGTTTATGAGAGTGCGACTCGCCCATGTGGCCCCCAAAGCAATCCCGAATCCTTCGAACAGAATCACGGACGACTGCAAGAGAAAGAGCGAGAGCATTTCCACCACCACAACAATGGTAGCGTGGATTGATGGAATGCAATGGAAAGGATGGCTGGATTAAAAAACTCAGACAAAAAGGTCGAACAACAAAGTGACATTGAAAAACCAAAGACAAGACAGACGGGTAAAAAAACAGACGAGGGAAGCCACGACAGAACACGAAAAAAAAAAAAAAGACGCCCCCTTCAGGGTAGTTACCATCGGAGGAGGGGGTGTGTGCTCATAGTCGTGCATGCCGTTGTCGTTAGACCATTGACCTCGCATCCCTACAAAGCCGGGACGGAGCACGCCGGGTTCTCACCGGACCAGGCTCTCACATCACCAAGCGCGAAGTGTCGTGAGCTATTCGGCGAGTCGCATGAAGGGTGCGCTGCATCCTGCTAAGGGTTTTCGGCATCTTGTGCTTACTTCCTTGCGTACGGATGACAGCTGCGTATGACTTAATTTATTTTCTGGTGCTTTCACTTCCAGAGACAGTTGTAAGCACTGTGTAACTGCCTCGAGGGTGCTTGACCATTTTAACACAACGTGGTGCGATCATCGCCCTTGCGCGGAGTGAGACTTCTCCACCCCGCACAACATGATCAAGATTACTCGACGACCATTATGGTTACCGCCAAAAAAACAGAGGTATAAACCAACGGTGACCTGGTTGC